CCACAGTTGGTGGGTTAGCCTTTATGCTCAGTTTCTTCACCCTGCACTTTTCTTAAAAGAAAGAAATTGAGTTAATAGTCAACTTACAGACTTGGCTCATCTCTCCTTATATGTCTATAATATAGTACCTTTTCCTCACAGATGAAGCATATCAACACGGCCACATCGTTGACCATATGCCACTTTCTCCACCACTCTCTGAGAGGTCAGTGCCTACAGCTGACTATAGACGGTTATTTACACTGTTGTAAGTGCATGACTGTAGGCTGTAGTTGCACAAACACACAAACCTATGCAAAACACGCCCATATGTAGTCAGTGCTAAAACATTTGCATTTGCTGAGTTTTCACATGTGATAGAGCTTGAGTGAATGAGACATTTCACACGGCCCTGGTAGGAGGCTGTGTGTGGCGGTGTATGAAAATGGGCACATGCCCGACTGTGTTCACTGCTGTCTAGTTGCCTATCCCCACTCCTCCCGTCCCCTACCTGCAGGGGCATGCGGCCGTCCAGAGGGGTTCCCAGGGGCTGTCTGCCGGGGCTGGACTTTGTATCGCTGTCAGCTGACGTGTTTCTGTGCCTGCGGTCCCGGAGCCCCCGTCCCCGAAGCCCCCGGCAACGCCCCCGGCCACGTCCCTGCCACTACCCACAGCGCCACTGACCTGCTGTTAACGCTCAGTGGTAAACAGCTTGGCCCAGCCTGGCTTGATTCACCCTGGCATGACCCATGTGGCCCGCCTTAAGGATTAAAAACCCTGGGCTGCTGTGTTTGCAAACTGATCGCCAACTACACCCACTTTTATAAGCCTCATTCCAGTCCATAATTGATCCCCAAATACTCCTGCCAGCGTCTCAGCAGTTCCATCATAGCTTTCTAATACAGTTTCTAACACAATCTTATTTCTTGCACCTCAGATTTTCTATTTTGCATGTAATTGTAAGGACAAACAGAAGAAGAGTTTAAGTTTCATTCCATTTTTTAATTTCTTCATGACAGCCGCTTCTTGAGATGGGCCTCGTTTTTTGAGATCTGATCAAGCATCCGGGAAATTTGCTTTGCTGAAAACTTCTTATTCAGCATCCAATAATAAAGTTGTTAAATCTCTACATTTGGATCTTAATAAATCGAGACCAGATCTTTCCTTGTGCCAGTGGTCTGTAAGTACTACTTCCCACCCTTTACAAAGAGGCTTGCAAATGGCTGCTGTGCTCTGTGTTGTATGGCTGGTGCCTAAGTGGCCATTGGTGTATGAGAAACAACAGGAAAGAGCTGTTCTTAACAGACTCACCTGGGACAGCATTTACACTTCCCATGTGTTATTACTGTAGAAGTCATAGTCTGACCCCAGTGCATGGTTGAGGATAATGCCTGTCCTGAGTGTTTCTGACTCTGTGCACTATTTGGTCTCATGTTATTTTGTGTTATTTTCCCAGCAAACAGCAGAGGGCATCAGTGAGTTCAGAGGAGACAGAGTCTGGGAGGAGCAGTCCAGACCCCCAGCCCCACTCCCCGAAACACCAGCACAACCGTAGGAGTGAGTAAAATCTCATCGCTGCGCATTTATGTTATAATCAAGTAGATACTTAGTAACTAAATCACAAAAAAACAAACAAACGAAGGGAATCTTGCAAACTATACCTGCATTGCACTGTTGTGCCGCTGTTGCTGATTTTCTTCAAAATCGTAAACTAATATAGATATTTGACTTTTCCCCCCTCAGCAGTTCAGGTGTACTTTGATCTGAAGAAACAAGTACATCGAGGATTACAAGGGAAAAAGGTCCATCTACTGAGATTAGCTTTTGATTCCACCTTCTTATTAATTTCCCAGTAAGTGACAAAGGGGTCATTGTGATGTCGACATAGTTACTAAGTATCTACGTGGTGCCTTTTAAGATGTGGTATTTGGAAGAATGTGCTTGCTGATGCCTTTAACAGAAAAAAGTCATGTATGTGTCCCAGGCTGGCCAGGAGCTCCTCACTCCGTAGACATCTGCGAGGGTCTGGAGGAGTGGCCTGGAGGTCGCGACCCCTTCCATCCATCTGACACAGAGGAGGAGGTTTTGGTGCAACTGGTGAGACCAAATGCAACTACAGATACTGTATAAACTAAAATTCTCCCAGCTTTTTTTGTAACCTCTATTATCTAGTTAAATGCCAAAAAAGGAAAGTTGTCTTATCTCTCTTTGAAATTTCCCCACACATATTATGAAACATTTCCCATATTGCTTTTGCCTGTAAGTCATCTTTTACTGCAAAATACCCAACCATACTTATTGTACTTTTTAAGACTATTACTGTTACTTTTTCAGATAATTTTGAACCTTTTTTAAAATCTATTTTGGGGCTGTTGTGCCTGTTATTAATCGCTCTCTTTAATATTTTCTTCTTCATGGTGCCTTTTTTATGCCACACTTTGTAACACCTGCTTTCAGAAGCGACGTATAAATAAATCTGCTTGACAGTTTTCCTTCTCTGTTAGTCTCCAGGCAGATACAGGGTTTTGGCTGACTGTCTCCAAAATGGACCAGACAGCATCATCATCAAACGTGGAGACGTCATCCAACTACAATGTGAAGACAACAGGGGGCGCTGGTGAGTTTTCAGCCACTTTCAGCAAACCCTGTCAATGGGGCTTAGTGATCAGCCGAACTACCAGCGTGTGAATGGATACAGTTATTTTCCTTCCCTCCTGTAAACACTTTCCTCACAATTCTTCATCCTGGTGGAAAGGCTGGTGAAAAATGTGACTCTGCAACAAGAGGGCTTCTTACCAGCTGCCACCCTGCAGCTGATTATAGGAGGCAGCAGGCACGAAAACTCCTCCAGACTAGGGGGTAAAGACGAGACCTAGACTTCCATCTCACAATAATATTGAGTATTTCTTAACTCTGATTCTCTTCTCTAAAAGTCTGTGTATTTTCTCGTAGACCCAGGAAACCTGAAGGTGAGAAAGCTCAGCTCCCCATAGAGAAGAAAGCACATATTGTGATTATATTTACCTTTGGGTGAGAATGAACAGACAGAAAGCAGACTGAGCCATAGCTGTCTCATAACTGATCCTCCCATGCCGTCTTCTTTCATCAACGTTCAGTCATTAAAAAGACAAACATGGAAATCTACACAACAGTTTTTTTTCTATGGCTTTGACTGACAATCTCCTAAACCAGAGTTTTCTGACAGTGAAGGTGTGGAGAGGTACCAGCACAAAGACACTGGAGCTGATGAAACCACTACGGACAATCAACAAGCTACCCCCGGATCTTGTTTGGTCTTCCTCTTTTCTCATTAGTGATAAATATCTCTTCCCTCTGGCGCTCACTTTGCAACACATGCAATCGGGATGCGAGTTTGCTGCTTAAACAATGGGTCATTTCACAGTCTGTGGACTCTTCAATCCTAATACTTGAGGTTAAAGTAACTTTATGGGTTTGTGTGTGTGTGTGAGCTCCTGTCTCAGTATGTGATGAATGGATGCTAACCCAGGATTTGCCTAAAAACCTTTCTTAAAACATATACATGCCACCGCATGCGGTGTCATTTTTAACATTTACTGTATCTCGGCGTTTCATCTCGTCATTGCATTTTTCTTACATTTTGCTCCTTAAGGCGTCCTCTTCTGTACAGTACGGGAGTTACAATGCCAAATTGTGCCATGCCATAATGCCTTTTTTATTCTTGCTCTTGTAGAGTCTTTTGTATACTGTTTGCAAAATCAAATACTCTGTCCTTGCTTTAAACTGACCTCACAAACATTCAATGGGCACTTTAATATGGTGGAAGAATGATGGAAACTAAAAATCCACCTATTGTTTACCGAATGTGTTCATTGCTCGCTGCTTTACCTCTCTTACTGTGCATTTCCTTGTGTTCTAGATGCTATTGTCTTTGTTTATTCTTCTATGATGTATGATGAATGTATGAGGGAGGCAGGGAAGACACATGCCTCCTGCATGCAGGAAGCGGTTGACGTGTCAAAGATGCTAATGTAAGGCACAGGCAAATATGATGAAGATTGATGGCAGTGTATTCCTCTGTGTGTGCCATAGACAAGTGGGAGGCACATGCCACAGAGCCCTCAAACACTGTCATTTTCATCATGATCTTTTGGGAGCTGTCTTGTCAAATGCAGCAAAGGAAGAAAAACTGAAGCAGAATGAGAGAGAATGATATGCTGTGTGTACTCGGCCATCACAGAGGCAAATTGTTTCTTCGCCAGCATTACAGCTCAGTTAATCTTGGGTTCCTCTTTAAAATGGATCATACAGCCAACATGAAATATACCCTCTGTATTGAACACTTAATTAAATATTGATTGCAGACTTATATGAATTTACCACATCAAATTGAGCCCCCGGTCGGAGGGCTGGCTTTGATACGATGCATTTGATATGGAAATGAATCTAGAAAGCAGAAGGGGCCATTTCCTGTGTTGTTAATTTATTTATTTTACTGTCAAGTCCCAAATGAAATTACATACCCATATTTTTACAGGAGCTATGCTTGATTCTTGTGCAACATCTCCTTTATTTGCTCTATTAGCTTATATGAGAAAAATCACATTGTTTGTTTGTCATTTCAATCCAAAATGCTGCAGAATTTGCACAGATTTCCAGCTCGGGAAGCAAAAATCATGCTTGAGACGTTCTGTCTCTTGATGAGCCATATACCCTATGCTAGTTGCTGAACATTTCTTTCGATAAAAATGCATGGCAACCGAACAATGAGTTGGTTTGTATTATTAAAGTCACCACTCTCCACAGGCATTTTTTGTACAGCTTTTCTTATGTAAAGAAAGCCAAATGCAAAAGTATTTGCTGCAATAATATGTTTTTTAAGTGATAAAATAATAGTTGTTTTGACACGGTGATATGGTGGCTCACAACTAAGCCCGGTCTTTGTCATTCACCCTGATTTAATCTATTATTTCTGTCTTGTTTCAGTAGCAGCTGTCTTAAATAATAAAACTGCAGAATTTTCTCTTTTTGTTGAGCTTTTGGTCAAATTTAATTTGATGTTTGGCTTTTCAGATTTTCGTTTTATTCATCTTTCTTATCAAATTCATTCACATAACATGTAAGTGATGTTCTGATACGGGCAGATGAACTGGTATTTTCTCTTATATTTATTTGCATAGTATGAAAGGGCATATTAAATCATAGGTCTCATTTAAGCATATTCATGTATTTCTCTTTACACGTGCATTTTTACAGCTTATTGTGCTTCTGTTGTTGAATTGAACGCTAGAATTTTTGTAGTCTAATAATTTTCACTCCTTTAAAAAATCGTTCCGCTTTCTTTACAACATCTACAAGCTGTACTCGTATTTATATGAATTCATTTGCATGCCAAATTCTTACAGTTAAAAAGCAGCTTTACGGGTCAGGGTTTTCATAATCAAATGCCATCCTGTGTTTAGTTACCCCCATAACATGGTTTATCCACTTGTAATAAAGAGAGATCCGGGTGTACACACCATATTTCCCTTGTTTTGCACATTCTTCCCCCCAGCTTACGATGCCTGTGAGGAACCATGTATTATGAATACTGTTTGCGTGAGGGCCTCCACTGTCGCCCTGACAGGCATCTTTGGCCTCATTATAGTATCCTGCACAAAACATGACAGGGGTGATCCTTTGGCTGCTGCTCTGTGTGCACTCTGTGCGATCTGTGAAGGGAACCTCGACTTTTAGCAGCGTCTTGGCCGTGGCTCCAAGGAAGCGTGTTCTGCCCCAGCCGCTGACTGTAGCTGGGGAGGAATCCTTCACTAAGGCCTCAATGAATGTCATGGGCCCTATGCAGATGGGTCGCACTGCCTTGGAGAAGGTGATGGGGCTTTTGAGATAGAGGAGGCCGATGTCATGGTTGTATAAGCTTAGAGTGGCATTGTAGCGTGGGTGAATGTGCTTCTCCTTCACATCATGATTCTGCTCCGTGCCTTCATTGATGTTGATGTTATTCTCCCCTATAATCAAAGATATCATATCTTGTTGAACTGTTTTTTAAATGTACTTCACAACACAATGCATGAAATAGAATTTCAAAAGTAGATGAACTTCCTCTCCCAAGTGCAAGAAATTAACTTTTAAAAATCAAAATCTGATTCATAAAACTGCACTAGGGCTGCCACCCCACTTATTTTCTTTATTATTATATGTTAATTTATTGATAATTTAATTAACAGCTTAGGGAATGGTAAAAGGCTCCATTAAAAAATAAAAAATAAAGTTATGTTCTGGTCACTGGTCCAAGATCCAAAGGTGCTCAGGCTGCTATCACAAAAAAAGAAAAGGATGAAATCTTGTAATCTTGTTGAAACCAGAAACAGGAGAGCCAGTAATCACAAATAGTTAATATTCATTTGTTTTCTGGTAGCTGTTAAGTGGAGTAAACGCAGTAATACTCTAAACAGTGCCATTTTATTGTATGTCAGCCTTACCCACTCTGACGAAGAAGGAGCCTTGTGCCTCTATCAGGCAATGAGCAGCAGTGATAACCCAGTGTTCGCTCAGAATGGATCCCCCACAAAATATATGACCACTGGGATGTGCTACCAAGGCTACCTGAAAAAGAGAGAAGACCCGAGCTGAGAATAAGCCACTACCAGAGTTTCCTTCCTGTATGTACTTCCTGTAGCAAACTGCTTAAATTGCACTGGGTATGTCTGCTTCGTGACATTACAGTACCTGCCATGGGATCTCTCCCGGTAGGACCACTTCACCTCCAACGATACGTTTATAAGGCATAACTGGCTCCTCAGTGGGGGCCTCAGTGTCACTGTATACCCACAGGGGCAGTTTCTTTCGTCTATTTCTTGTGTCCATAAACGATACTGTGGTAGGGGCTGGAGTTGAGGGAGGGTATGGAGTAGTGTTCGTGTCGGTCAGTGAAGTGGTGTTTGCATTCTCATAGTGGAACGCAGATCTTGTATATACTCCACTCTGTGCTGTCAGGGCAGTTCTGCCACATGGGAATTCAACTGGTGATGTGAGAAAAGAGGATTGATACAAAGTCATTAATATGATATTGAATATAACAGGAATAAGCTGATACCTTCTGCTTCACAGCTGACACCATCCTGCATCAGCCTGTATCCTCTAGCACAGGAGCATTTTGCTCTAAAGACTCCTAATGAGTCACAGAAGTGCATACAGTCTCCATTGTTCACATCGCATCTTTTTGCTATAGCTGAGGAGAAAAAACAAAACAAAAGCAAAACATAATTAATTCAAAACAACCCTCTTAATGAATATATATACATGTTGTTACCATATCATATAGAAGTGTGTTTTGTAACAATAATATTTAATATTTTATATAATCACTGAAATAGGTTTCGTATGTTGTTATTCACTTGCTAATACTAAATTTTAAATAAAACCTTTCTAAATGTGCTTTCAGCGCTGTAGGCCACATTCTGAGCACAAATGTGTTCAAAGCAGAAATGAGAATTCATGTTTCTGATTAATCTTTTTAGTTTAGTAACTAGTAACTATTAGTAACTATTCCCCTGAGTTTTGACCTGTTGTGGAGGGAATAAAACTTTAGACATCCACCAACTCTGTAGCCTCATATTTTCTTCCTAACTTCTTTCTTAAAATGCATCTTAAATCAGAACAATAGCTGTGAATTCCTCTCTATAATTTACATCAATAATGGATGTCTAGTGGCTAATTTATAATAGCCAGTATGAACAAATTACATTTTTGTTTTTATCTTTAAATAGGGATTCACATAGCCATTTCACATAGCTATTTTAAGACAGACCATCTGTTTTGAAAAGTGAAATAAAAATTCAGGTAAATCCAGGTCTGTGGGATGCTGCTTTTAGAATATCTAAAATAGCCAACAACCTAATTTTGGAACCAGAGTGATGCTGAATGCGAGACACTGATTTAATTTAGAAAGAAGAAGAAGACTGAAATGCATCTGCTTGTTTATCCTTTGAGCCTTTGATCTGATCACTGCTGATATCAGATTGTCACGAAATGTAGGAAATGTCACTACAAAACCAATTTTGTTTGATTACAGTTTATATATCCAGTCACATGGCATTCACTCACCAATCTCACAGTTCCTCCCAGTGAAGCCAGATGCACATGTGCAGGTGTAGGAGCCCAGGATGTTTTTACATGACCCCTGGTTCAGGCATGGCCCTGACATACACTGATTATCATCTGAGGAAATCCAAACGCAGAACTTGAAATTAATTTGATATTATATATTACATATATTGATTTATATTATTTTTTAAATTTTATATTATATTATCATTATATATTATACATAAATATTAAAGCAGTAAAAAAGTAATTGGCCCCTTAACCTAATAGCTGCTCAGGGCACCCTTAGAACTACTGTCAAACCTTTGATAAGGTTCTTTAACATCACTCGGAGGTATTTTCACAGAATAGTCTTAATTCAGCTATAATGGAGGTTTTTTCCAGCATGAATCGTCCAGGTCCTGAAGCAAAGCAACCCCAGACCATCACGCAACCACCAGCATGTTTAACTGTTTGACTCTTCTTTTTAAGAAATTATGTTTTAGCTTTATGCCAGATGGAGACGCAAACCTTCCAGCTTTTGTCTCATCTGCCCACAGAAGAAAATAAATGGGAGATGAGCTTTTGTGTTGTGTTTTGTCATATTAACCTTGGAACTCTCCCACAGAGGCAGTTTGCACACAGAGGCCTCTTTCTTATTGTTGAACTCTGACCTTAACTGAAGCAAGTGATGTCTGCAGATCTTCAGATGTTGTTCTGGGTTCTTTTGTGACCTCCTGGATGAGTTGCTGATGTGCTCTTGGAGTAATTTTGGTAGGCTGGCCACTCCTGGAAAGGTTCATCTCTGATCCAAGTTTTTCTAATTCTGGATAATGGTTCTCACGGTGCTTTACCAGAGCCCTAAAGCCTTAAAATGGCTTTGTAATGCTTTTGAAATGGTTAGATTGTGATGTGTTCTTTTAGCCTACTTCAGCTTGGCAGATAGAGAATTATTGACCTCTGGCAGTCATCAGGCCTGGGTATGCTTAGTGAAATTGAAGCCAGCTTTACAAAATGTGTTTAAAGAGGGGGTGGGAAGACTTCTTCTTCACATGGGGCCAGGTTTAGATAGCATTTTTTCCTCTTAATAAATAAAAAAAAAAATTTCTTTTAATACAAAATGCATTTTGTATTTCTTGGGTTATCTTTGTCTAACATTAAAATTTGTTTGATGTACTGAAACACCTAAGTGTGACAAATACACAAAAATCTAAAAAATCAGGGAGGTGAAAATATTTCATTTCATTTTGCATTTACAGATAAACATGCATAAATATACATAAAGAATATCTAAGAAATACATGGTAATGTTACAAGATAAAAGACAAACCTTTAGTGTTGAAGTTTTAAAACTAGGAACGATAAGTAGTAATTAGTTAGAATAAAGAAGTTTACCTAAAAAGATGCTCACATTCAATCATTTATTAAGCACACTCTTACCTGTATATCCTGTCCAAAATTCCATCTACAATACAGAGTAAAGTCAGTGATCGGTGCAGCCAGCAAAGCCAAATAAAATCAAAGTAAGTGAATACTCACTGTCTTTTCATCATTCTCGAATGTCTCCCTCGCCTCTTCTAGGTCGCATAATTCCTCTATACACTCTCTCTCCAGGTTTCCCTGCAGAAACTCCTCAAACAGTCCAGTGTTGTAACGTTTGTGTCTGCGCAAAATGCTGTCAGCTGATTGACCGGACAGAAACACTTCATCCGCAGATAGAGCCGGAGCTAGAGTAAACAAAGGGATAAGAAAAAGCTAGTTTGTGTTTATCCACTGGTTCATTTTGTAAGTCAAAAGCAACAACTTCTTAAAGTAAATGCTGCTAAAAAGTCCGCAAAACGAAAATGTACCTAAAGTTAAAGAGCATCACTAAAATGTCACAATACCTCCAGAACCCAGCCGAACATTTAAAAGCAGAAATTGCAGCAAAGACACAGAAATGAGTCCCATTCCAAATTTTTCTGCCATCCTGACAGAAACACTCTCGACTGCTACTCCAAAGTACAATCTGTGTTTGCACATGTGCACCAACAATTAATCGAATGTTTGTTCAGAGAAAAAAAAA